ATTATTATTTAGTCCTTTAGCGGACGCTTTTATCCAAAGCGACTTACAAGGGAGACATAACATTCAAGCTACATAGCAACAAAGATTTTAGTGTAACAATAAATACTACCCTACGTTTAAGGGCAGAGACTAAGTAATAATTTGCAGGAGATGGCGGTAGGGGAAAGGAAAGGAGAGACCAGCAGTGCTAGAAAGCAGAGGAGTGGTAGAAAGAGGAAGAGTGGTGCTAGGTAAGTGCTAGCTAGGGGAGAAGGTGTTCTCTGAAGAGTTCAGTCTTCAATAGCTTCTTGAAGACCGAGAGGGACGCCCCTGCTCTGGTGGTGTTTGGCAGCTCGTTCCACCAACGTGGAACTGCGAAGGAGAATAGTCTGGATTGCAGTGGCTGTACATACAGAAGAGCTAGACGGCGCTCAATTGCCGAACGCAACGTACGCGGGGTAACATATTCCCCTATAAGAGCACTTAGTTATGTGGGAGCAGTCCCAGCAATCGTTCTGTAGGCAAGCATAAGTTGCTTGAACTTAATGTGAGCAGGTACAGGCAGCCAGTGAAGCTCAATAAGCAGTGGGGTAACATGAGCCCTCTTTGGTTGGTTGAACACCAGAAGCGCTGCCACATTCTGGATCATCTGAAGAGGTTTCACGGCACAAGCTGGCAAGCCCGTTAACAGGGCATTGCAGTAGTCGAGGCGGGAGATCCCCAGCGTTTGTACCAGCAGTCGGGTTTGTTTGGGAAATCAATGAAAATGTTGAAAAGTCTTGCAATGTTAAAGAAAGTTCCCTCCAGACCTAACCCACATCAAATCCCTCCATTATGTTTTGAGTAATCCTGCGAACTGTCAGACAAAAATACTTAAAAAGCGTGGACAAAAATAAAACCTCCTTGGCAGACGTAATAAGTTTATATATTCCCTCCCACCAGACATCCGTAACATTGACTGTCTCTCCTTTTTCAAATCCCGTCTTAAAACCCATCTTTTTAAACGGGCATAGTCAGTTTGTTTGTTTTCCATTTGGCCATCCTACATGTTTTATCACTGTTCACTGTACGTATGAGTACGTCTGTGTTCCTGTGCAGATGGATGTGATACAGTTATGCTGCAAAAAAACAAATCTATTTATAGGTGTTTTTTTAATGTATTAATGACCTAAAAAAATACTTTTTGTATACTGGGGCATCTCTTGTGTACAATTAAGCTCAATGCTGCCCATCAATATTGTACCTATTAATATCATTGCTTCTCTGTGTGCCACGCCACAACAGGATGTTTTTACAGAGGCCGATTACCACAATACCTGGGGGCAGTGATATGTGTCATATAGTGAAACTCAATAACCTCTGGTGCAGATCTGAATAAGGGCGTGGAGCCGGAAAATTATTTTTTCACTTTCCTTGACATTGTGAGATTGGGCAACCTTAAACAACTTTACCATGTTCCCAGAGAACAATTCAATCAAATCAGACATTATAAGGAGACTGGATCTTGTGAATTTAAATGTGGTTTTATACAGGGACTGTTGGGCCTTGGCAGAGGTATGCGCTGTTCTAGTGAGTGAGTTAATGTAAGTTTCCCACTGCAATGTTCTTTAGATGACAGTGAAGAACATGTTCCTACAAGAGCAGGGTGTTTTTAAAATAATCAGCAAAGAATCGAACAGATGAAGAAAGAAAAAAAGAATCAAAGCAACCACAGGAACCACAACATGTATAAGAGCTGCACTTGACAGGAAGAAAGATCATCATTCCAGCACATGCAACAGATAAGCAGCTATACTTCACATGAAAAATTGACAGCTAGTGTTTTCCATTTGATCATGTCTGAAGATGACGCTAGCATTTTTACTCTGAGCTGTGGGTTTCTCACCAAAGTAACGCTTGGCATCTCACCGCTGCTGCTGTGTCTGAAGAGGACTGTTAGTGTGTCTGTGAATCAGGATGGGGCCCCACCTCAGAGAACCCTGCACTGTTACCACCCTAGCTGAAAAGACAATGATGACATAACACACTGACATGTTTCCAACATCGCTTTCATATTGGTAAAGAATGATAATGGAAGTCTGATGATGGTAAACTTGTTTCAGAAGCTACATATAAAAATTCTGAGTTTTACACCATCTCATCTATTTCCTTTTTCTTACAATAAAGTAAGAGATAACATGTGCAGGCCCTCCCTCCTTTTGTGTGCTGGTTTGGTGTCCTTGGGTTTGCTAAGGGACTCTCCGGAGGCTCCACTTCTCCCCTGTCTCACTAACAGACTCGTAGGGCTGAGAGAGATGACTGTAAGTTTCAACACATTCAAAGCTGGCAGCCGAGAGCAGACATAAGACCCACACCTGGATTGAAATAAGCTTGTGCACTGGTGGGAAACTGCCCTAAACGCACAAGAGCTGGCAAATGTCCGTGTTGAGTCAATGCCACCGCACTCACACTGCTACGCAAATGCGTATATTCCAGGAGTCAGTCATGCTAGCAGGGATGATACATGTTTGTCACGAGTTGAGTCTGTACACCCCGTGTAAAAAGCCACAAATCCCTAGCCGCCCCGACAACCCGAGTCATAGCTGGAGACGTGACTGTGCAGAAAAATGCATTTCATATTAGTTTACTTATCAAACCATGGTGGTGACATAATTAAGATATTGGATTAATGGAAAAATCAACAGAAAACTAAGAGCAACTGACATGTAAAATTACTTTGTATGACTTTGACATTTGAATAGTAAGTGAGCGTATGAGGCAGCACAGACACATATCAGCCTGGTAACTAACATATTTTTAAATTTGGAAATAGAGAGACATTGTAACTGAAGAGATATAAACAGTAAATCAAGTCAAAGTTTTATAAGTCATATTCAACATAAATAAATACGTATAAATCATTTATCAACCTTATTTTTACCATATTGCCAAAATTAAATCAAGACGCAACCATATAAAAACCTTTTAACCTCTGCAAGTAGGTTATGTTTTCATCCCTGTTCATTTGTTTGTCAGCAAGACTACGCTAAAAAATATTAACTGGAAAGTCATGAAAACTTGGTGGAAGAATGTGTTATGGGTCAGGAAGAACCCATTCAATTTTAGCCTGGATCCAGATCAGGGGGCAGAAAGTTTTTTTCCCCCACTTACTTAAACATGAGGGGATAGGGCATTTTTCAACATTTTGGTTGATTTCAAAGAGAATGATTTATATGGATATTGATAGGAAATAAGTTAAGCATATTTAAGGTAATTACATTTATGAGTGTGTGAAATGTGGTG